TATATATATATGTGTATGTGTATATATATATATATGTGTATGTGTATATATATATGTGTGTATGTGTATATATATATGTGTGTATGTGTATATATATGTGTATATAAATATATATATATGTATATATGTGTGTATATGTATATGTATATAGTAACACTGAAAGAAACCTCGTTTATAGAGTGTAGATAGAGTCCAGATCTTCTTTCAGGTGTATTCCTTATCGGGTATTACTGACAAGAAGACATTTTTATTTAATTTGTATTTTGTGTCTTCTGATCGTTTCCAGGTGGAGGGCAGCAGTCCGGCTCGTACTCGGTTTCCAGACATTTACCGTGAGTTTGAGTCCCTACAGGCGCAGGTGAGACAGGCGGCTCAGGATTACATCATCAGCCCGCAGGGCGGAGTTATACCGCTGGAGGTCAGGAACATCGAGGTAAGAAGTTCTACTGTGTTTTACTCTGGAGGTCGGAAACATCGGCTGTGGGTTTTACGTAGCAGTATACAGACGGCCTGTGTACTGTACTGTACTGTGTTTCAGGTTGCCAGGTCTCTGGGAATCCTGGACGAGGTGAACAGGATGAAGGTGGTTCCTGGAGCGTCTCCCAGCTCCAGTCTGACCAATAAGAACGTCCGATACATGGAGGTAAACACACCATCTTGTTCCTGTGTTGCACATGTCACATTAGAGCCTGATTTCAGAGACCTGGATCTGTTACCTGTTGTACTCTGATAGAAACCAGGACTCTGTGGCAGCTAAACTCCTGATCCAGGTACACTCTGATTCAGTCAGAAACTGTGTTTCCCAGAATTCCAAGATGTTGCCGCCTTCAAAGAGATTCAAGATGGAGAACAGTGTTCCAATTCACCAGAATGGCATAGAGACGCACAGAACAGGTACAACTACTGCATCCGTACCGCGCCCTAGTGCATCCGTACCGCGCCCTAGTGCATCCGTACCGCGCCCTAGTGCATCCGTACCGCGCCCTAGTGCATCCGTACCGCACTCTACTGCATCCTTACCGCATCCCTACCGCACCCTACTGTGTCCGTACCTCACCCATGTACCGCACCCCACTATATCTGTGCTCATTAATATAACTGTGGATCTACTATTTGAATGGGACTCGCATCCTGATTCTTTCTTTTCACTTTTCCTTCAAGGTGGGACCCCTGTGACCTCTGTGCCCTCCTCTCTGAAGTCCTGCTCGGCCTCCGTCTCTCCTCTGGTGATTTCAGCTGGATCCAAACTGCTGACCACCAGTGCCGACCCTGCCTCCAGGTGAGGTGACCCTGTCTGTGTGTAGAACAAGGTCATACATAGACCAGGTTTACATGGCTGGTCTGATCTGAATGCGTTTCTCTGATCCCTCAGCTCCTCTGGCTCCATCTCTGCTAAGACGCCCTCCACCCAGGCTCCGCCCCCTGCCATGCCCATGGAGGTGACCCCAGGTGAGGACCAGGGGATGGGGCCTCTGCAGACTAACGTCCAGGTGAAGTCTTTGCAGACAAACCAGGACCAGGTGTTGAGCAGCAGTGACATCGCAGCCCAAATGAACGAGCTGGAGAAAGCTCTGGGTTCAAGTCCCAAGACCAACACAGACTCGAAGAAACCTGAGTCCAGCTCCACCCAGACACCCGAGTCCAGCTCAGTCCAGACAGTGGCTTCCTCTCAGCTCCAGCAGAGGGATTCCACCCTGTCCGAGTCCGGCTCAGCGGACCCCTGCGAGTCCAAAGAGCTCCAGGAGGGTCAAGAGATCTACATCCAGACCGAGGGCCTGACGGTCCAGATGGCAGAGCCCGGTGTAGACCGGATTGTGATTGTCAACGGGCCGGACGGCACCACCATGCACATCCAGACACCAGAGGGGGTCCCATTGGAGGCGGTCCAGGCCCTGCTGGGCATCGAGGCTTCAGACGGAGCCAAAGCTCCTCAGTGAACCCTGAACCGAATCTCGACTGAGCAAGACCAGAATCTGACCTGAACCACATCAGGATGACAGGGAGTGACTGGATTTTTTTAGGTGGTATTTATAAAAGGTGTACAAAGTACAAACTTGATATTATAACTGTGGGTGTAATGAACACAGCAGCCTGAAGGGGGCACTAACAGACCACAGACTACTGATTTGGGGTTTCAGGGGTTTCTGTGAGCTCCACCCTGTTGAATATGTTTCAGTTTAACACCTGAGTACTAACAGGACAAACTGTTCCTCCAATCTCACACCTGGGTCGTTCCAGTCAAACTCCGTTGACGCGATGTCTCGATCCTTCATCAGAACGAACTTTGCGTTTGAGAAACAAGTTGAAACCAATTTTGATTTTATTTTGTGGTCATATCTAATATTTACAGATATCCTGACCGTGGGTCAACAGATTCAACATCTAAACATGAGCGACATTATTTAATCGAAAGATGAGAGAATCAGTTTCCACTCAGCAACGATTAACGAGCAGACGTATCTATCGCTTCAGTTCAGTTCCTTTATTGACTGGTTCGTTCAGTTCTCAGCTGATATGTCGGCAGCGGCTCCTCAGGAGGAGTCTGGTCTTCCTGCTGCTTTTTTAATGAATCTTAAGTGATTGTAAATTTGTAAACTAGT